AGGCAAGCGAGTCGAATTATCTACTGGTGTTTAGCAATCTTGTGTGGTTTCGCATCCAACACGAATCCTATTGTAAGCAGTCAGGCGAGTTCGTCGTTCTTGTCGCTTGTCTCATACTTGATTGTGTTTACCCCTGAGCCGGCTGCGTAAGATGCCCTGGCCATCAATCCTTCTTTCTCTGGCAATCCTACTTCTCTCCCACACATCAAATCATCACATGAAGACACACATCACCGCCGACCACCGATCACATGGCATCCCCCGTCTCCCACGACGAGCCCCAGCCTGTCATCAAGGTCGAGATCCGCCCCCGCCCCCGGGCCTGGCGCGTCGGTCATTCCTGTTCAGTGACAAGCTCAAGAGCTCATGCTAGCGTGGTTGAGTGAGTTAGACCTGTTTTTTGCTTTTGTTTTTGGTTCTTGGCTTAGACTTCGAGTGGCTTGTCCTATTAGAACTTTGAGTGTACTCTAAGTATATAAACTTGAGTCTTCGTGTTTAAAGTTCTCACTCGAGAGACGCCGCCTTTCGAAGGGGCACAAACCAGACCTCTTTACCCCTAAGCCGAACTTGTTGGGGCTGGGTTTAGATTCGGCTATCCCAGCGGTTTAGATTCGGCTGTCTTTTTGTTGTACCTAGGTAATAGGTTATATTAGCCGCGTAATGGGAAGCGGCAAGAGCAATATCATCTACGCCTGCCGACCCTGATTTTTCGGTGTATTAGGGAAAGAGCTTATCGTGTTTATTCGTTATAATGGTTAAAAAGTTCGGGCGATTATATAAATCGGGTAACTTTTATTTTATATGGTAATGAATATATTTAAGGCTATTTTTCGATAGAAGTTTTGCAGTTTTTCCTTTAATCGCTTGCGAAAAGGTACTCATATTACTTAAATGTGGTTAGTAGGTACTTAACGTATAACGCGAGCCTGAGTGCCCTGCAGGGGCACGCCACCCGACGCCCTTGCGGGGCGTCGTTTGAGGGAGGTCATTGCATTTTATGGAGGCAAGGAAGAACCCTATCGCGCCATCGCAGACGCGGTGTACTCTGCCGGGGCCGAGTACCAGATCCAGTTCACAAACCCTGCGTGGAGAGATAACATAATGTCGGGGAGCTAAACCGACTAATCAGAGAGGAACAGGCACTTGGCATCTATGAAGCTGTGGAGTAACGGTGGCGCTTGTATGAGATCTTGACATGTTAGCAGGGTACCAAGCCGCGGAAGATTCCATCTCAGATGTATCTGTTCTGTTAGTGATGCCCAAGTACCTCTTAATTTCACACAATTATATAGCGATAAAGAAAGTGCTTACGCGAGGAGCTGCGCCTGTCCTAAGAGAAACGATGGATTGACAGGCTTCTTCACCAATGCCGATCTGACTCTTGACTTCCCGACATGGCTTGTTCGCATGGCTATATCTAGGCGTCCAAAAAACCGAACGCCAGCCATTGTATCGGGCCTGGGGGTGCATGGAGCCTTTCAAGGCTATCGTATGCTGGCTGTACTGGAGCCCTTCCAATCCATCATCAGTGACTAACCGGCAGTCGAAAGACAACACCGACCCGTGACTTGACCGCGGCTTCTGCACTCGCTCCTTTCACAAGCATCGTCTCGTTGCTTATTTAGCTTGTCTATTCAGCACAACTGTTGCGGAATACCCTGTGTCTCGTTAGAGGAGATAAAAACGTATAGAGGTCCGGTACAGGATAATCAACAAGGTAGCTTGCGGCACGCCCCCCTTTTCCTCCCTTCCCACTAGGCCCGCCCAGGTAGCCCTGAAAGCACCATCCAAGAATATCGCAGTTAATTGGATCAACCAGGTCGTAAGTAACAGCCCCTGGTCGCAGCAGCGACCGGCTTGATATACAGGTTAAACCCTGAAAACATGTAAAATCACGTCCGCACCGATAAGTTACATGACAGGCATTCCAAAACGTCGCAGCCAGGTAGAGATCTTTTTACATTCACAACTTCCTATATACATATACCATAACTTTTCTCACGATGGGTTTAAGCACTCCCTTAGAGTGACCCCTGTGAACTAGGCTATCGAGACCCTGAAGTGTGTTGCTAACAGTGTGCTTGCAAGTATTTTGATGGTTTGCAAGGTACATTGTGCCAGGGTTTAACCTGGACGACAGCAAAGCCTAGCCTGGCCTGGCCACCTAGCTGAGCCAAACGAAGGAGTGACCTCGGCGGGAGATACTATGTTGCAAAACCCCATATATCGACGGCCGGCACTACACCAGGCCCCCCGATTCCAGGGGCGGCCATTTCTCACCGGCCGGTTCCATCATCCGAGCACGACGCTTTCCTCTCTCTCATGAACGGTTATAGAGTCGACGTTTTCCCGCGGCCAAAGACACGACATGGTGATGCCGACTTCGTGTTTGCCGTGCAGAGAAATAGCAGATTCATCCCAGAACGGTAGTAGGTAGGGTCGAAACACTAACCCTATACCTGACCATGACCATAAAGTAGGTTGCGCAGGCGTACCCCTGAATGCCCAAACAGCTCGATCAGGGCTAAAGGAAAGGGAGGGGACGGCCCGAAGCATTGAAACCCCTAACCTGGTGCCGCGGGTATCGACATAGGTAATAGGAGGACTGGACTGGTTTCCTTTCTGTCTTTCATAGACTTGCGCAGGGGGTAAAGAAAGGAAAGGGGAAGAAGACAAGAGAGAAGAGTCAGAGCAGCGGCTGGCACGCCAGCGAACAGTGACATGCAAGCTAGATACTTGCTCGCGAGGTAATTATTGCCTGATATCCAAAGCTGACAGACAGACAGACAGACATACAGTAAGCAGCAGCACCACGAAGCAGGCCGCGCCATCGTCTCGCTCTGCGTGCCGTGCAGTCAGGCTTCCCAGTCAAGCAGGCCGGTCCAGACCATCGTTCCCCCCCTGAGACCCGGGCACCTGCCTAGGCTCCAGGGGTCCAGCACACTCATGCTGCAACCAACTGCCCACAACCCTCAACACCGCTGAGAGGGAACCGCGACACCCACACCCCACACGCTGGCATATACAGCGGTAGGGGGAAACGAACCCGCTGACCTGATAGTCCTGAATGGAGTGAACTGGAGGCCCTGATACCCTCGCCCTGACGGAGGTGTGAATTGGCTTCGGGAGCCACAAATATAAAATATATGTAACTAGCACACATAAGTTAGTGAGCCGCTTGCCACGTCCCATCGTCCTTGGAGACTTTGGTGGTCGCTGCGACCCTCAAATGTTGAACACTGCAACCAACCAAGCAACCAACCTAAAGCGCGGGTATCGAGGTAATAGTGGACTAGACTAATATCCTTCCTGATTTGATATACTCGGGCAGGGGGTTAAAGGGGGAAAAAAGTTAAAGAAGACAAGAGAAGAGAAACAAATTAAATCTGCGTTCTGGCACGCCGGTGAATAAGCAGAGGCATGCAAGCTAGACACTTTCTCGCGAGGTAATCCTTACTATTCGACAGCAAATAGACAGACCTAAGCAGCGGTACCACACGGCCAGCCGCGCCTTCCTCTCGCCCGGCGTGCCGTGTACCTACCTACCAACTCAAGCTTCCCAGTCAAGAGCAGTCCGCCGGTCCGGACCATCGTTTCGATTTTCGAGAAGATCGACCCGGACCGACCTGCTAGTCTGTCCCGTAGACAGCTAGATGCTGGGGCTGAAACCATGTTGGGATTTTCAAGAGGGAGAGGAGATCGCGGCGGGCGGGCTAGGCGCTGGAAAGAGAAAAATGAAACTGGCCCCGTAGACTCCCCAACTTCAACCCCAGCGTTAGAAGGCGTTCGGGAGTCGGGACCGAGACTTCATGTTCCCAACCGGGCAGCAAATTGAGACTCAGAGATGGTTATCGATCTTCGAATCAATCCAAGCTCTGCCGCAACCTTAAGCATTCGGGACCGAGAACCAGCTTCCCTGCTTACGAGTCCTAGTTTCATCTTGTGACTCCTTTGTCTGCGGGCGTGGTGCTAGTGGTGGTGAAGCAACGAACGAAGTCGGGGGAGGCGAGTGCCCAACAGGTACCATCAGCGTGACCGCATTTGAGCAAGCCTGCACCTGACGTAAACACCATTGTTTCACGATACAATGCTAACATTCTCTCGCAAGGCTCAGGAAAAAGTCTAAAAATAAAGAGCAGGCGGTGGTGCTAGCGACCTTAGCGCCGCGCGCGGTTTCGTTTCAGGTGTTTCTGGTTCGTCTTCTAGAAAACGTTCTACGACGGGGCATGCCTGTCAGATAGGGCTGCGAAATTGCGATCTTCTTGAGACCCAGGCATCACTGCATCATAACTAAAGTAGCGTGGGGTTAGGGACTGATCTTCGAACGCGGGGAACTTCCTTGCTGTCACTAACATCCTGTCAGTTTGAAATTGTCCGTTAGGCCCCAATAGCAGCTGGGAGGCGAAGCGCCACGATTTCAGGTGAGCGGGTTTGTTTTGGGAGAAGGGGTGTTGTAGGGATACGATCAAGAACTGCAAGGCACAATGCATGTATACTGGTGGGAATGGAAGATACTTTGGTACCAAGGGTTCTCTGTTGTGGATTCTACCTAAGTGGCCGAGGGATGGCAGCGTTGCTGCGTCCATCGAACGACTGTATCGGTATGCATCGCACTCGGCAGGCCAAATGCATGACATGGCCAGCACGAAACAGAACACCAGAACTCCTCCAAGCACATCCATCGTATCCATCGTATCCGTCGAAGGTATCCATCGCAGGTATCCATCGCCATTAGTTTTGGGGTGTTTTGTCGTATTTAGTCGTAACAGCCAGCTCCAGGCCAGAGCAGCTGAGGTGATATCATGAAAACGCCAAGGGACATATGCGGACGGCGAAAAAGGTGGGTATTTTTTCGCGCGCGCAGACTCTTGATCCGCATTGCCAGTAGAGAGAAAATGCAGATCACTGAGCCGCCCAGATTTTCCCATCCGAGAGAGTCGGTACTTGGATCGAGATTTCCTGCTCCCTTTCCTGATTCTTGGACGGAATGCCGAGTCTCCTTAGACGGTCTCCCGCACAGTCTTGCCACGAGACTCGCGGCCCTTCTCAGACCAGGGAAAGTGGAAGACCGGGATGAGGAAGAACGAGTTGCTATTGCACGCGTATTAGTTGAGCGAAGGCACTTGGCAACGTGAGGAGAGATGGAGGTAAATAGCTTACCTGGGGTCGGCAATACCAGCAAAGGCATTGTACCAGGCCAGGAACGCAGCCAGCAGACCGAAGCCACCGCCGGCCTGCTGCAGCGTCTTGCTCGAACCCGCGGCGCCGTTGGACGCGGCGAACTCGGAGCATGCCAGCATCAGAAAGGCGAGGTCAAGGGTTAAGAAGAGCAGGAAGAACATGACGGTCGAGCGCAAGGTGCAGATCAGTAGAATGAAGGTGAAGATGAACCAGCCCGTCAGGAAGAAGCCCAGAACCGATGCCTCGTCCGCCGCTTCGGTGTACGCGCCGAGGGCGTTGAATCCGGGCGTGAGCAGGATGGCGTACGCGATCCAGAAGCCACCGAACGAGGACAGCGCAGTGGCACCGAAGGTGTTGCCAACTGCCATTTCCCTGTGATGTGGGTTAGCAACATGGTCGGCAGATATTTCGTACATGACGTTATATGGGGATCTGGGGCTGAAATTGGAAGCGTGGTGGTCTTGAGAATTGCAGTGAGACGGGGGAAGACGGGGGTGAGACGCCAATGTCATGCAGGTCAATAATTGCACTCACCACATGCCAGCGAGGAGCTGGACGAGACCGCCATATCCGAAGGCGACAGATAGCACGACGTTGGGCTCAGAAATGCCACGGGCGCCGCAGTTGATGAGCGACAGGACGAAGGTGGTCAAGGCGAAAGCCGACAGGCCCAGCGGCGCCGGGTTGGCGAACTTGCGGTGCTCATTTGACTTCCACAGACCGGGTTGGAACTCACCACCAAAGGCGGGGAGGCGGCCGTCGGGGCCCGAGTGGACGTGGGCGAGCGGGTTGTGGCCGTAGTCCCAGCGCTGCGACGCGGCATGGTTGTTGTTGTTGTGGGAGCCGTTGACAGAGCCCGTGGCGGTGCCCGTCGTCGTCTCCTTCTCGAGGTTGGTGGTCGGATCCATGGACGCCATTTTGTCGAAGAGTGTGATGGGTGATGGAAAATGGAGAGGCGAGAGGGCCGAGAGGAAAAGGCTGGGTTCGGTTTTGTATTTGTAAGAAGCGTTGCAGACTTGCAGAACTAGAGGTAGGTAGTGTTTTCTCTAGTATAGCGGGCGAGATACGGCGGTTATACGCTGCGGTGGAGCGTGGCGCCGACCAAAGGTAGGTAGTAAGAGGAGATTAGTGTCCACAAGCAAGAGGAAGAGGAATCGCAATCGGAAACGGAATCGGAAACGGGGCTTGAATCTGGGGAAGGGAAGGGAGGGTGTCACTTTAATACCTGAAGTACGAGGAGGGGACCGGGGCGGGGAATGGACAATGGTCGATGGCCACGGAGAAATAGATGAACTTGCAATTTGACGGTGTGATGTTGCAGGTGGCCCGGGGATGTGTGTAAGTCATTCAACTACCTGCATGTACAATACCCTCCCTAGGTACATACGAATAGCCTATTGTGAGGGGGGTTGACCACCTGCACGAAGTACCTACACAATCATGTATACCTGACATTCCTGGGCAATATTTACCGATAGCGTCTCTCCTCCCGACTCGCAATCACCAACGTTGTATAATTGGCGTCAGCTCCAATCTCAATCCCTCGGCCCGGAGCTACACCCTAGCGAAGGCAGCGAGAATCACCAATGCCAGCACGCAGCAGCGCCAGGGAGGGTTGCATTCGAGGCGCTGTTGGCTTGAAGTTGCATACACCTAGAGCAACATAGGCATGGGTGGGGCATGGCCATGTGCCCTCGGCTGGCCGTCAGCGCCAGATTCGGCTCGTGTCTCCTTGCCAATCAGTAATAATGTAGGGTGCAGTGCAGTGCCGAGGTCTGTACATGCTCCCCTCGATCCCTTCGTCTCACCAATTAACGGGAGTCACCAGATACCCGGAGGAGGGGAGCAATGACAAATGACCTACAGTACCTGTGTGTGGCCTGTACGCATCTGTCGTCTGTACACCGTCATTCCGCTGCGCCGGCGCGCCGGCGTCTGCTATTCCCGTATTATCACTAATAGTAGCTGGAGTAGCGCGACGTTGAAGGTGAGGAGACCGAGAGGGAGCTAATGCAGGTCTTGGTTGGCATCGAAACGCCTCCACTGTCCAGTCTCTCACCTCTACGGTAGGTGTGTGTGGGCACTCACTGGCCACCTGAGACTGGTGAGAGGACGCGAGGCATGAAGCTCAGAAGCTGGGGTACGGTTAGGTCACTGCCAACTACCTGGTGGACATCCCTGACGAACGGTTTTCTTCGTTGACTCGAACGCTTCGAGGTGCAGTTGGTATTGTACAGTGTACGCACAGTACGGGTGCTTACTGCTGACCGGCCCTGCGTCCGGAAACGAGGGACGACGTTCCAATCCCTGTCACATGTCCCCTGTCCCCCGGACAATGGGTCTGTTCGCCAGATCAACGGCGATGGAGGAGCCGCAGGCTGCAGCGTCTGTTCGCGGGCAGCCGGCGACCTTGTTCCCCTTCTGTCACAGTTACTCGTCAGGTCTCTGTTGGGCAGAGAACCTTGAAGTCATCATCAATTTTAGACATCCAAGGTGCCAAGAAGGGAAAGGCCAGAGCAACACCACAGCGCGTAGTATTATTGATGTGCAACGGTGATAGAGACCACATCCGGTATTAGTCAATCTCTCCTCCATGCATCGTGTGGTTCGGCTGATGATCCCCCGGTCATACTTCCAATTCTGATGATATCGACGGCACAATGATCAATGTGTCTCTGTGGTTGGTCATCTAATAACCGTGTGTCAGCATATGATACATCACCCAAATACTCCCCTGCCTCTCAAGCGATGCGGTTCAACAAAGATCTAGTACTAGTACACATTATTGAACTTGCCCTCGCGATGGGCGCGAGTGAACGGTCGGGAGGGTGTCCAGTACAGTGAACAACGTTGATCAGTGGAGCTCGTTCTTCCCCGCATCCTTCTCCATCATCACCCCCATCAATGATCACCATCTCGCATCTCCATCTCCACCTCCTCCACCTCCACCTCCATGACTCCGTTCCCGTCTCCAATGAAATCCTTCCCGCATCCTCCAACTGCTCCAAAAGTGGACAAAAAGTGGACAAAAAGTTGACTTTGACTCGCCCAAGTGCTGACTGCCGTATGCACAGGTTCTTGGTCACTGGACTAGGCGACGGGTACCCGCTTACTTATTCGTGCAAGTAAGGTCATCCTTTGTTCTGGCAGACATACAGGACAGCCACGTAACTAATTTGAAGCTGATGGAAGTCGCACTTATTACTAACCCCAGCTTCAGAGACACCCCAGAGGCCCAGAGGGCAAGTGCGAGCTGTCTTTAGCTTGACATAACGACATTTCCTTATGCGAGTGCAAATAGAGTTATCGCGAATAAGGTAATTTCAGATCCATTTACGGGGTCAATCTGGGGTTCCAGTCTCCCCTGCCACCCTTGTCACACCCCCCTGGTTGGTCGCCAATTCGTGCCTCGACATCCAACCCCATCTTGAAAGTTGACACGCTTGCTCCAGTCGAGCTCCTGGGCTGGAGAAGCGATTGGCATTCGAGGGTATCCAGCAAAGCTGCCCGGCAATTGCCCAGTGCCAGTCCTACTTTTGCAGTACTCTTGACCATGTTACGCGACATCTTACATCCCCATCCCGTGTCACCTGCTATGACCGGGAATCTGCTGCTGACTTGGAGTCTGGTAATGAACGCGATCCATGCCGCTGTACAGTCTGGAGTAGGTAACACACAAGTACTACTGTACCGGAAGGGAGTTGATGAAACAGACAGTCTGCCGTTTCGCTAGAGTGGCGCTGACATGAGACCAATCCCACACACGTCGCCGACCACACTCGCCGACCACACACGCACTCGTCGAGCCAGCCGGAGCAAAGGAATTTGAACCACCATATGTGCTGACTAGCGGTATTCCCGTCTTTAGTATATCAGGTGCCAGCCTGTCGGTTCCGAAGATTCAACCCCAATTGATCTAAAAGGTCAAGTCGGGACTGGTCTAACGTTCAAGGGAATCTAGAAGAATTAGGTCGCCTTAGCCCTTCTAGAGCGCGACATCTCAGGACACCATGACTTCATCATCGAGACCCCGGATCTCGTGCTTTGCGTCCCGCCTGGCCGGAACTCCAATGGGAGTTCCCTTCGGCAAGGGATCTGCTGATCTGGACATTACCAGCTGACCAGATCGATGGAGATCTCATCATGTGTGAGATCATCGCACTGCTGTTTTGCTTTAGTGCACAGAGCGTTGAGCGGCCAAGCTTGTCTGCAAGCACACGGAAAATAAGCAGAAATATCCGTTCATCGTGAGGATGTGCGATGGCCGGAGCGAGACCTGGCCGTAGCATCGTGATACGACGGCTTCCGAGCAAGACGTCAGCTTCAGAACCAACAACTGCCAACTCAGCATTGGAAGTCGAGGGAATCAAGCCCGAGAACAAGGCAATCCCCTTCGTTCGTTCCCAAGTCCTGTGGCTCCCGTCTGCTCAATCTTAATCGAGATACGGTACGGAGGTATGCAACGTTAAAGCGCCCTTCCGCAACACTAATACCATCTGCTACAGGTCTCCTAGAATATGCAGCCCAAACTTGTCGTCAGACCGCCACCAGTAGACAAGACAAAACTATCCTTCATTATCCCGCCGACAGCTCTCGCACCTAGCATCCGCAGGGCTACTCAACGACCGTCGTGGATCCTAAATATCCAAGCTGCGCGGCCAAAGTTCCACATCGAAGTACACAGCCATGAATCGAGTGCATCAAAAGCCAACTAGGATTGGTCATGTATCGTCGATCTTTCGTTACGACCCTGCCTTATACTCAGGCACCATTGGTAGGTGATTGGATGCCAGCACTCAGTCATACAACCGATCCGGGAGATTGGACCGACCACTTTGTATCCCTTAATAGGGGGCCGCTGCAGAGTAACCCAAGACCAGGCCCGCCCTTGATATATCTCATATTCCGCGCTGGTCAATGTAGAGCCAGCCAATATCACTACCCATGCAATCCCCGGCCGGCTGGGTATGAGATTCAGGCTCTGCTTTTAGCCGGCTGCCGAAAAGTTCCAGAACGTTGGGTGCATCTCGACGAGCCTATCACAAGGTGGATGTGTAGATGAAACCAGGCGTTTATATAGCCAACGTCAGCTGCAACGCAATACCCCCCCTGCTTTTGCTTTGTCACACGACTCGTCCTGGTTTGAACCTGGACTTGGACGTAGGGCACGGTACCACCAGCAAAAGGATGCAGAAGGTTCAGTTGACATCCTTGGCAAAGCAACAGACTATTTTGCTCCTTGCTTTGAACGATATATACGCATGAAAGAACTAGAAGCGAGCCATCGTCGTTCGCAGGATTCTCTCGCGTTATTAGGCTATGCACTCATACTCAGGGGTATATCTGAGTCACTAAGATCGTCGGTGGCTCCTCCGTCCTTCTCTCTCTCTCTCGAAGTTTGCATGCTCAGCTTGGTACGACATAGTGCTTTGATCCTGACACAGACGATCATATTGTTCTTGTCATTGAGATATCTTAACTGACTCATTCTCCGCCCTTTTCGAACAGTGGTTTACGAATCCTAGTTGACTATCTGGGCATTAGACGCCGTGAAGTCACCAGAGACAAGGGTTTCTCGGGAAAATTCACCCTGCTGGAGTTATCTGTTCTGGCGTGGTCGAGGTTCGTCAGAATAGGAGACCAATCGGGGTATGCTTCGACAAGTCACCACGATTCGATACAACCAACGAACTTTACCCCTATTTCCGACGGCAAAGACACCTCCAGGGCCAGAGTTTCCAATATCGAGAATGCCTGCGCAACATCAGGACTCGCACCCGATCGTTCTGAAACAGGCTTCATAAAGGGTCGCAACATCCAGCCCCCTCAGGTCCCCTTCCGCCAACAACCCCATGCCGTCGACACCAGCATGCGCCGCAGCCAAATGCAGCACCGTCGAGCCATCGTGAAGCCTCGCGGCGCAGTCCGCGCCATCCCGAACCAGTACGCCCTGGCGCGGACCAGCTGCGCCAGGTTGGCCGCGTCGATCTTGTTGATATCACTACGAAAAATGCCGAGGACGATGTCCAGGGGCATGGCATGTAGATGGGTCTGAACACGATCCGGTGGATTAGGCTGAAGGACTTGCTTTCGAGTAGGTCTCGCTGTCTTGGGAGAACAGCTCGCGGAGCTTGTTTGTGGTGGCTGTCTTGCCCGCTTAGGATGCGTTCCCAGGCCTCGTCGAGGGGGGCTTATGACACGGGTCAACATGTGATGGATGGCCTTTGTCTCTCGTGATTGATTGATAGGTTGCACTTGCATTTCCTCTCCCTCCGCATATGGATCCGCGCCCTCGTGCAGGAGCAGTTTGCAAACATCGATCTGCCCGTACTGGATGGCAAACAAGATACCATCAGCACACCCCCCCTAATCACCGGTACTATAACTGTATGCTCACCCCAAGAGGCGATGTGCCTTTCATGGCGGAAACATCCGCTGGACTGGCTTCGTCCTGTGCAAAAAGCAAGGAAACCCTTTCCACGCTCGAGTGCCAGAAGATCTCCGAGCTCTCGGATACGATCCTCGCGACACGGAGATTGAGGTTAATACCCTTGGCCTGTGACGCAATCCGGATCGCCATCATCTTCATAAGCGCCGACTGCGGGAAACAGTAGGTAAACGTCGCTGACGTGGACTGCTTCGGAAGCTGTTGCATGACTTCAGTATCGAGGATCATCCCGAGTAGCCGACAACCAGCGATCTGAGCAGCTCTTGCAGCGCTTCGGCCGTTAGTCGTTGATGGTGCCTCGTGTGGCAACTGCAAGGGCAGCCCGATAGGCAGGCCTCGCCACTACCATGCAGCCCGTCGACGTGAACCATGTCTCCGGACAGTCTTCACATGAACGTGTCGGTTCTCCAGGTAAGTTCTCTCAGAGACACTCTTTTGATCCGTTGAGAGTTGTCGACGTCCGGACGAGACTGCAGTCGGGCTCCGAGGCTGGAGACGTCACATCATAATGTGAGAGCTGATTCTCCTCGTCGCTTGTGATGTCGCTGGCGCGCCATTTCTGGGACACCGTGTGCTAAGTCTCCGTCGAGGTTCTTATCCCCACTGACCTGCGGCGAATGATTAATTCCATGCAGCTGTAATGTTGATGATTGGCTGGTTGGGAGGTAGCACTGCATCCATGGGGGAGGACCTGTATGTAAAGGGGGCTTCACGCACAAGCACGCATTCTCCATGTTTGCCGCGAGGTTGATTCTGCCCTTTCGAATCTCCGCAAGTGTTGATTTGATCCTGCACTTCCGGCGTAGCCACATAATTCTACTGACCTTGGGCTTCTTAGCAGAGGCTCAAGACTCGTTACCTTACCTCGTCTTCTAGGATGCGGACCTCGTCTGAGGCTAGGTGAATCTGCCTAGCCGAGCGCAGGGCTCTTGCTCGCTGTGCCGATGAGGGCACCCACGACCGTGATACACGCAGGGGTGAGTGACAGAGGATCTATTAGCTAGGTTTGCAGAAAGTTTGGCCCTTTTCGGCTGCGCGACGAACTTCTGAACTACCTCAAACGTACCATGGAAGTCCGAATCCCCGTTGGAAATAAATATAGAATGTCATCGGCTGAGACCTCCTTGGTAGAAGTACTGATCTGTCTTTACAGGATAGTAATCTCGGTACAGTTCTGGTCTAACGGGCCATTTGAATCGATGCAGTTAGCCATACTGCTCAGCCAGACTGTACAATCTCCAACCAAGATCCGAGCTTTGAATTCGAACTTCGGAATGTCAACAGGAGAGTCTTCACAATGCATCAACGCCGCAGCAATGTCCAAAGACTGGACGCTCTCCCTACTGGGCAGCATCGCAATTCCATTGAACTTGACGGTCCCAATCGCTTGACTGGCGAGGGTCACCTTTTTGAACGTCCCTCCACATCGAATTGTTACCGATTCTAAATCGGTTAGTGAAGCTATCCGCGATAGCCGCGTGACGTGGTATTGCCCGCGCAGCCCGCCAGTGCTGGAGCACTGGGCGAAGCGAGCCCTGGTCCCAGTAGAACAGGCGTCGGCGCGATCAGGTACGTCGTCGTCTGCGAGAAATGACAGAGGGCCCCAGCGGAAACCAGGAGATGTCATACGAGGAGACGATGTGAAAATAATGTCACTCGGAATGCGTCCAAGGTTGTGGAAGAATAGTGCTCGTTGTTGCTCAAGATCCCCCTTGACAGCGAGCAGAGGCCTGACGTCGAGGCTGAGGAGGTCGGCGATGGCCACGACTTCGTCACTTGCTCTTGAGGTGTGTTACGGTATTACATAATACCTCCACATATTTATGTACATATATACCCCGAGCTTCCCCGTTCTCTTCCGACCTTGCCTCTTCTTCCTTAGATATCGTTGAATCTAGATATTTCATCCCATCAGCCCTGACCAGCGCAGCTGCAGGCCTGATTGTCACAAGGTGGTTCGCGGCCGAATCATGTGTAGCAAATCAGGGAGATCCAACCCTCTTCCGAACTCGAGTGGCAAGATTTCGCTTCTTTTGAGGATTCTAAATACCTCGATGGACAGGTTTTGTATGACTGGGTTGAAGACATGTTGAGCGCGACCGATGATGGCATCGTAGATGTCCGTCGCGCTTGCAAGGGTGTTCTGGAACTGAAATACTAGGCGGCGAGGTAGGACTGCCTCGGGGAGAGTCCAAAGGCGTTGCATCCAAGGGATGTCACCAAATTCAGAAGGATAATCTCCAGAGGGGTTGAGAGATCGTCAAAACGCTTTTGTCGAATATGGGAGTCTAGAACAACCGTGACAGCAGATTCTTTGTACGTCGCATTTATCAATACCATAGCCTGAACGCGGGCTTCATTCTCGTTAGGGGCGCAGAGAGAGTCGATCCATAAGTGACTGATGCCAAGAGCATACGCTCTCTCGAAAAGGTTGGCGACAAGACAGGTCGGTAGACCCTTTTCGGTGGTGCTGCCCATTCCATCAGACCACACATAGGAGAATGCAACATATCCAGCCAGGCTCTCTGGTGCCTTCGAATTGAAGACCCTTAGCTTAAATATTTTCTTCTCGAGAGCCTCGACGAGCGATAGTCCCTCCCCATCGATGGATATGACTGGGACTTTCTCTTGCTTGAGAAGAGATGTGAGATCCCCCAATGTTGGGGCCACATAAGAGCAAGTACATCCCCGTAAGTCATGACGAGGTTGGTAAGATGATGTGTCTATGTTGTACTCAACACATCGAACAGGTGTCTTTCATGGCTCCTCCAGGCGGGCTCCCTCGGGTTAAAGAATCGAGCATATTCCGCTACAGAATAGCGGTAGGAGTAGATGTAGAAGGTGCGCGGTAGTATATTGACTTCTGGCACAAGAAGGCTCCTTTTATAGCCTTCCAAGCGCGACTAGTACCTAAGGCAGATATTTAAAGTAACTATCTCTTAAGAAACCACCTTTATAGCAACGAGATAAAAGCAGTTAAAACTAACCTCTTTTAACCTTAGCTCTTATTTTATAAAGTTTACGTTTTTAAAACTTATTTTCTTTACGTATCTTTCGAATAATACCGCGTTCAATGCTTTGGATAAATATTTAATACATTATCACGAGAGTTAACTTACTTGATTTTAATATTATTGATTTGAATAACGGGTTTTTAAATTATGATAACAATATACCTTGATATATTTAACTTTTTAATAAACTGAAGTTTTTATTAATTTTAAAACGCTGTGATTATTAAAGTATAAAATAATATAATTAATATTAATCTTTACGATATAGGAATTATTAATAAATTATTAATTTTATATTAATTTTTAACCTTTTTAATCCTAGTTATATTTCTTATATATCATTATTATAACTGAAGCGAGCAAGAATGGGGGTCAAATATGTTGTTGTGCGTGGGTTGGCTATCTAGCTAAGTGGGAGGGCTACACCCATTATATGGTGGCCGCTCCCTTATCTTATCTATCTAGCCGCACTCTGATTGGCCAGGTCACTCACTTACAGTGGGCCCCCCCTGGTGACGTGTGTCAATAACTATAACTTGTTATTTATAAGATAAAATAAAAAATAGATTTTTTAATAAAAACACGTAGTTAGTTACTAAGTAACGTATATTCAAGCATTTTGCAATACTTATTTTTATATAAGCGTATACATATTCGTCTTAAAAAAAACCCTTTTAAAAGCTAATAAATGTACCAAGATTTGTATTATAGCGTTTATATATATGCTTAAATTTTTTAATTTAATATTATATTAAATATAACGGTACAAGTTATGTTTAAGTGGGTTTAAGTAAGTAATCATATAAATCTATAAACTATAAAGTAATAAAATTAGCAGAGTTTCGGTTCGGCTATATTAATATTAATATTAATAGAAAATTACAGTTTATTATTTTTAAAGATTTTAGCTGGTTAAATATTTAAAAGTTTAAAACATTGAAAGATTTATTTAATATATTGCTATTAATAAAGTCAGGATTTTTTAAAGATAATATTTATACTTAAATAATAAATATATTTACTTTCGTTTTCCCCCCCCAAATAAAACTATTATTATTTAATAAAAGATTATCTTTATGTTAAAGTCTTATATAATAATAAAGAAATTATTAACTTAAATAGTTATAATTACATACCGTTTTTTATAAATAAATACGCATATATTATATTGAAAGGTATAAAACTTCCAATAAATTAAGATATTTATAATCTTTTTATATTATGATTTAATCGTATATTTAAGTTCGTATAATACTTCAGAAAAACGTAGTACTATTTCTTTTAAGATTAACAAACTAATAAATAGTCGCATATAGAATGTTTTTCGTTAAAAAAGGCGGGTTTAATATTTGTAAGAAATATTTTTTAATTAAAGATAACAACAATAATAAAAATAAATTCATATGAAGGTATTTTCATAATAATTTTAAACGTTTTTTTATAATTAATGCTTTATTATTATTCAAATTTGGGAGCTATTATTTTAATTTTACACTTATTATAATACCTTTTCTTAACGCTTTAAGGTATTTTAAGTTTATAAATATAACGTTTGATAAGTAACTTGCGTTTATTAGGTATATTAAATGTTGAAACTACCGTATATACGCTAGTTTTAACGATGTTTTTTATTTATTTGTAGCTTTTTACTAGTTTTAAGCTTGCGGTGTTTTTATAACATAAGCGTATTTTATTAGCTTAATAATCATTAAACCGGTTGTGGTTCTTCTAGCTATAATTATTAGAACCGTTTTTTTCGGTTTTTACTAATTTATTTCATATCGTCTTTTAAAAGGGTTATACGTTCAAGTGAATTTTTATTTTTATTTTACATTAATTAATAACATCGTTATTTTTACTACTAAATAGATTAATGTTTTTAACCTTATTATTTATACTTAGCTTTTACATAAACATAATATAACGAATAAAAAAGGGAATCTAATTATTAAATAATAATTAGAATAAATTTATAATGTTTTTATTTAAATAAAATATAATGTAGGACTAAATACGCCCTCTAATCCGCGAACATAAATCTTAGCTAAAAAGAAAAAGGAAGTTTCCGTCTTCAATTTTATATTTGTAATATAGTATTTAGTTCGTTAATAAAAACATGGTTTTAATCACAGCGTATGTTAATTTAAAGCTCGTTATTAAATTCATAAAACTCAATTTTGTTGAAACTATTACATAAGTTTCTTAAAATAAATAGTTAAAGGTTTAACTGTTATTAAAACCCTTTTATAATCGCGTAAAACCCGTAAAAAGTCCTTTTTTAAAAGTTGTTATTAAAATAAATCTTTTTTTAAACTCTCTGTGAGATTCTAGAAGGGTCATAAGCCTTTGTGGTGTGAGCGGTCACTGCAAATGTTGTTGTCATTCTCAAGTATGCTTGGCAGGGCTAATCTACAGCTAAATACCATACTGCACCATGCAAGGGTGGATCCACTGGTCCCTTGGCAGCCCCTTAGCGGGTACTGTACCTAAGGGCACTATATCTGGGATCTAACATCTGACACTATCCTTTAAAAAAGTACGCAATCGCTAAGTTGCTGTTATTTATAATTATTTACTCGATATACACTATATTATTTTAAGGTTTACGGTTTTAAATAGTATATTTATTATAATCTATAACGTAGCTGACAAGCGAGTTGACATTACAAGCGAGTTGGCACTCGTCATGAACTTTCCAACCAATACGATTCAAACCATCATATCTCTACCAACAACAATGGCACCGCGTTATAACGAATCAGACTTGCAGCTAACTGTTCAAGCTAAACGACGTGACCCTCATATTCCTATATTTCAGCTTGCGAAACTCTTCAACGTCCCTCGTTCCACTTTGAGCAATAGAGTCAAAGGAATGCCATCACGACGCGACAGCATGCCCAATACTTTGAATCTTATGGTTTCCGAAGAGAATGCCATTTGTTCCTTCATTCTCGACCTGGATGCACGAGCATTTCCGCCCCGGTACAGTTATGTTGAAGATATGGCGAATCAATTGTTGGCGGCGCGTGGGACTGGACGCGTTGGAAAGAACTGGACGCGGAACTTTATCAAACGTACACCAGGCCTCCGGACGCGTTTTTATCAGAAGATAGACTACCAGAGGGTCTTGAACGAGGATCCAGATGCGTATCGCGCGTGGTTTTGCCAAGTTGCAGCGGCAGTCGCGAAACATGGTATCCAAGATGCGGATATTTACAACTTCGACGAGACTGGGTTTATGATGGGCATTATTGGGTCCGGCATGGTCATTACAAGCGCCGAAAGACGTGGCAGGCCTAGACAAGCTCAGCAAGGCAACAGGGAATGGTCTATAGCAATCTCTGCTGTTAATGCTGATGATTGGGTGGTCCCGCCGTTCATCATTCTACAGGGCAAAACCCACCTCGCATCATGGTATCGCGACACGATATTACCACGCGATTGGAAGGTGGCCGTGTCCGACAACGGGTGGACCACGAATGAGATTGGTTTGGAATGGATTCAGCATTTCAACAAGTATACCAGACCGCGTATGACTGCCGGTAAACGCCTTCTCATCTTAGATAGCCACGAAAGCCATCATTCCCAGATCTTTGAGAATTATTGTCAGAATAATGGCATCATTAGCTTCTGTATGCCTGCCCATTCGTTACACAGGTTCCAGCCTTTAGATATCGGCTGTTTTAGCCCGCTCAAACGAGCTTACGATCATATGATTAAAGATCTCATCCGGCGTCATATAACCCACGTTTTGAAGGAGGACTTCCTTACAGTGTTTTGTGAAGCACACAACGCTGCTATGACGCCAGGAAACATTCGAGCAGGTTTCAGTGCCACTGGGCTTGTTCCTTTTGACCCAGAAAGTGTCATTTCAAAGCTGGATGCTGTCGCTGTCATACGAACACCGTCGCCAGACCCCAATCTGCCACCCACTACTTGGACTTCGAAGACGCCTACCACCATTAATAAAGCGGTAAACCAATCGGTTTATATCCGAAACCGAGTCAGAAACCACCAGAGAAGCTCACCTACATCAATAGTTGATGCGTTGAGCTCGTTTTCGAAGGCTACATACGGTCTTATGCATAAGGTCGCTTTGGTTGATTCCTGGGTCCGCGAATTAGAAGAGGCCAATCACTTACTAAGTAAACGCCGAAGAACAAAAAACAAACATCTAATGAAAGGAGGAGTACTTTCCGTTAAAGATGCAGTAGATCTTCAGGCTGCAAAGGATGGTACTGAGCTGGCAAAACAGGAAATGGGTGAAGGTAGTCGTCGTCCGAGGCGGGCGGCAGCGCGTGGGCGACAGTGTAGCGTTTATGGCAATACTGGCCATAATGCGCGAACTTGTACAATAGAGATAGAAACCTCTGAGGAAGAGGAATCCGATTGATTGAATTGAACTGAATGCGTTGTGATGAAGTTATTTGACATGGCAGTTGGAGAGTTCATGACGAGTGCCAACTCGCTTGTAATGTCAACTCGCTTGTCAGCTACGTTATGTTTTTATATTTAAGTAAAATATATAAAAATATGAATCTTATATTCTTTAAACATTAAACCTTATTATTTTAATTCATTTAACTTAGTATCTAATGCTTCGCGCTAGGCCCGCAGCATATTTATACCTTTAATAGCACCATGCTCTTCCGACTTAATTTTCTCGGTCTCTGCACCTGTCTCTTCCGTTCTCTTTACTGTCTTTCAAGCCTTAATATTCTTGCTTTGCCTTCCTTTGTGCTCTGTTCCAGGTGTCACGGCACTAGATGACAAGCCCACAGCCCCACGGGTTAACCCCTATATATACCTGTTCTTGTCTCCTAGCTAGCTTCATATTTTCTTTCCTTCTTCACGTACATCAACAAAGTCATTTCTAGAGTCTCTAGCAGTCGGACTGTGACACTCCGACTCTGGCAATGTAAGGGACCGCATGCATTCTGGAATGAAGACAGCTGCAGATGATGAAGCTAGCAGTGACTTTGGGGCTGCTTCTGATGATGAGGAAGAAGTTGACTGGAAGGTCACGTACGGAGATAGATACTGGTGGCGGTTCATACCTGAAGGGAAAGAAATGGCTGCAAAGATCAGGCAGTATGCGGAATTAACAGGGCAGTACGGCCGTCAAGTTACTTCTTAGAAATAGTTAAGGTATAAGAGGCAAGAATCGCTCTGGTAATGGCCATGAGCCGGACCGGCAGAGCGAGAGGCAAGCGGAAGGCATGAATTTCGCAGCTGGCTGTGTAGGTTGAACACACTTTTGTTTCTTACGGGTTTCCATGCAATGAAGGGTCGTGGCAGCACGACAGGCTAATCGTATATCAAACTGACATCAACCGTGCGTCCGTCTTACAAACCGAATACTCGATAGATGTGGTCGCCGTGAAGCCGGTGGACGCCACCGTTACCAAGCTTAATATCGGTACTGAGATCACCTTCTGTAGACTGCGGGATGGGAAGGTAGTCATCTTGTCTTTTTACGAGTTGTTCGATGCGAGTTTTCCTAGCTATTACCACATGGACTGGAGGTACAAGTGATCGCATGCCTCAAACCCTCGAATCCATCATTTATGATGCAAGGGCATTTATTGATGCCCCGATACGTAGTCCACAGAATCTCGTACGCAGAACAAAGCAACACGATCAGACCGTCCGTCAACAGTACACATGAAAACGCTCAAGTCATGGCAGTGTCCTCGCCATCTCCGCCTGCAGCTTCACTCAGGTCCGGTATCCACCCCTTGGGCCGCTCGTTTCCTCTGACGGTGACGCCGTAGCCGACCAGCTCGACTTTGCGGACCTGCTCGATCATGATGCTCAGCTTCTTCGCGTAGGTGCCCGGCTTGCCGACGGTGGGACAGATGTGCAGCATCGAACTCACGTCCTGCATATCCGTGAGGATGGATCGCTGGCCGCCCTGATCGTCGTCGGCTCCTGACTTGTCAGCATCATCCTCCAAATTCTTCTGGCCCGTGGGCATGCTCCCGCTCAGCGCCGTGACGGCAGTCGCGAAACGCATCATTTCGCCCGTGAGGTCGAAGATGCCGAAGACGTAGTCGGGAGCCGTCAGGTGGATGTTGACGGGAAGCAGCGCGTCCTGCGCCTGTGCGGGGGTCATGAGGGTCTGGTGGCGCAGGTAGTGCGCGAACGAGACGCCCTCGACGAACTCCTCTAGGCAGATTAGGGGGTAGCGGTAGCGGTTCATGCCTTGGACGTCGGGCTCGATCTCCTTGAGCTGCGTGGCTATCTCCTGCAGGCGCTGGTCGATGTCTTTCTGGATGTGGGTGGGAATCGGCTGCGAGAGCTTGCGCACTCTGTGCGATGTTAGTGATGTGGCAAGTGAGGGTGAAGGGGTCAAGATATGAGGAGCGGGTGATGATAGTCTTGGGCGTGTATTTACCGCTGCAGGGAGAAAATTCTGGATGTTGATTAGTAATAGATTCCTTCGAGCAACTATTCGGAGGATCTCACATCTTCTTGCTGAGCGCAGTAACATCGCGCGACACCTTGCCGATGCGCATCCGACGGTCGTGATGCTCATCAAGCTCATCACGGAAGCCCTCGAACATGGTGGTGTAGGCACCGCCCTGCTGGGGCGCATTGCCTCTCGACATACTCATCGGCTTCTCTTTACCCTGGCGGTCTCTCTTAACTCCGGCGACGAAACCTTCGCCCTTCTGCGGGACGATGACTTCGGACATGGAAATGATGGTGGTTACTGCGATGGAATTCGACCTGTGTTTGTTGCGATGATGAAATGTACCAGAGCACCAGCTTCCGCACATATGCAGGTGTCGGGGCGCGGCAGCTGCCAACGCGCCGACAGCATCCCTGGGTCTGGGAGCCAGAGACGGGATTCAGCCGACAAAACACCGATGCTCAGTTTCTCATTTGCTTCATACTTCCAACGCTTCCCAAAGATTGACCAGTATCAAGCTGGACGAAATGTTACCGGGGGACCTTTCCATCACTTGAGCGTCTTGTTGATGAGAAGGTTTGCTATGTTTGCCAGCAAGGACTCAAGTGTGAAGCAAACTGCCACGAACAAAGCTTGCGCCTCTGCCGCATGAAGCAGCAAACTGGCCCCTTTTCAGACTCCTGATCCCAGGTTTCAGACACAACCTTAAGATACGAGGAAGGACCTTTCGAGAAGGCCCGGATATCAAGATGGCCACAGCACTCTCAGGCCTGATATCGCGGCCTATCCCGCTCTTCACAGCAGCCACCCTGCTGCGCGCAGGCATGCTCCTCTACGGGCTCTGGCAGGACGCGAACTCGCCGCTCAAGTACACAGACATAGACTACCTAGTCTTCACCGACGCAGCGCGGTTCACATTCTCCCCGTCGTCGTCATCATCATCGTTGTCGTCACTATCGCCGTACACGCGCGAGACGTACCGCTACACGCCGCTGCTCGCCTGGCTGCTCTGGCCCACGACGCTGCCCGGCACCTTCTGGTTCTCGTCGGGCAAGGCGCTGTTTGCTGCCGCCGACCTGCTGGCCGGCTACCTGATCACGCTAATACTACAGCGCCACATGCGCATGCCGGCGGACCGCGCCTGCCGCTTCGCGAGCATCTGGCTGCTGAACCCCATGGTGGCGACCATCAGCACGCGGGGCAGCTCGGAGGGCCTGATGGGGGTCCTGGTCACGGCGCTGCTGTGGGCCGTGCTGGAGCGGCGCGTCGCGCTCGCGGGCGTGCTGCTGGGGCTCGGCGTGCACTTCAAGATCTATCCGTTCATCTACGCGCCGGCCGTGGTGTGGTGGATGGACGCGGAGCGCATGGGGACGAGTCCTTCTTCAAGGCCCCAGTTGGTCACCAAGAGGAGCTCAGGAAGGGAGAAGAAGAAGGGGGAAGTCAGGTCATCACAGACAAAAACGGCACAGACATCGACCCTCCAGCAAAAGATCACGGCTTTCATAACGCCCCAGCGCATCCAGCTGACCCTCGTCAGCCTGGCCACGTTCCTGGGGCTCAACGCGGCCATGTACGCCGCGTACGGGACGCCGTTCCTGACGCACACGTTCCTGCACCACGTCACGCGCATCGACCACCGGCACAACTTCAGCCCCTACAACGTGCTGCTGTACCTGACGTCGGCCTCATCATCGTCATCACCTCACCTACTAGGTTCTTCTCCCGCGCCACTGTCGTCGTCAACGTCGCCGCCGTCATTTAGGATCGAGTCCGTGGCCTTCGTGCCCCAGCTGCTGCTCTCAACGGTGCTGATCCCGCTCGTGGGCGCCAAGCGCGACCTGCCGGCTACGATGCTGGCGCAGACGTTTGCCTTTGTCACCTTCAACAAGGTGTGCACAAGCCAGGTAAGTCAACCATCCCCCATCTCCCGCCCTACCAGCCTCAGCCCCAGTCTCTCGAACCACCAACCCACAGCCGTCCGAACACCCATTCTAACCAACCATCCCAACACCCGCAGTATTTCCTCTGGTACATGGTCCTCCTCCCCCTCTACCTACCAACCTCCTCCCTCCTCCACCGCCCCGCCCGCGGCCTCGCGGCCCTCGCGCTCTGGGTCGCCGCGCAGGCGCTGTGGCTGCAGCAGGGCTACGCGCTCGAGTTCCTGGGCCGCAGCACCTTCGCCCCAGGCCTGTGGGCCGCCTCGCTCGCCTTCTTCCTCGTCAACTGCTGGATCTTGGGCGTCGTCGTCGAGGACATTGGGGGAGCGTCGGCTTGATTTGATGGGCGGCGGGCGTGCGTGTGTGTGTGTGTGTGTGTGTGTGTGTGTGTGTGTGTTTGTGTGTGTTTGTGTGTGTGTTTGTGTGTGTGTGTGTGTGTGTGTGTGTGGTGAGTGTGTGTAACACGTGTGTGAGTAGTGCGTCTGGCTGTGGTGGCGGATGAGGAAGGAAAGAGTGTGAGAGGGAGCGAGAGAGAAAGGGGAGCAACGGAAGGGAATGACAATCGGGAGGCTTTGAAAGGTGTGTTGGATGAACTGGGTATGGCGATTGTGTACACGAGGGGAAATGAAAGTCGAAATACTACTACATACGAACGACCATGCCATCTTCAGGTGTTGGAGTCTATGTATGTTTCAGGAGTGAAGCAACTGTGCCGTGGATTTGGAAGGTGGCCTATGAAGTAGTCGTAATACCTGTTGGATGGGGTGATGAAAGACCACATATCACAATTCCCATTGTAGAGTTCGAGCAAAGAATATCATGAGCACCACTCTTTTATCATGATATCTTCTACACAATTCCCATATGAGACGACATTTGTTGCAGACACCCAGCAAAGCTTTTGACTTAAAATGCAGTACCAATGGCCCCAAAAGCAATCCTCGCAATGGGTATTATGATGCGTCCGAAAAAGCCAATGAATACTGCTCCCCCCTTCTGAGGAGCAAACGTCAAAACGTAAAAATCACATTTTTCGCCCCGACATTATACCGATCTATTTCTGCGTCCATAACTCCGATGCCATGCGAGTTTGAAATGAAAATGCTCCTGTCTTCTGGAGGGCTGCATGCTCTCGCCTGTCAGTAGAGGGCAAGAAAAGCACGGGAATTCCGTGCCACAATACGATCATCAAGAGATGTCAACCAAATGTCCTTGTTGCTTTGTTGTCGTGAAATCATATAATCGTCGAGTGATTCTGGTGTAGGGCTGCGTTTCACAGCATTGTGATCCCCCCCGAGAGCATGGCGTAGTTGGCCAGTTTGAGGGAGAGTACGCGCGACTTCGGGAAATCCGGGCTAATAACCAGCCGACCTTCCTTGTTGTAGCCGACTTCGCCGAAACTCTCCACCATTTGTTCGAAACGGATGTCCGGGCGTATGCTGTTGAGCTCGGCCACGATCTGGTCGGACCAGACGCCAGAGCACCACCCGTCTCTGATCATAAAATAGGGGTTGAGAGGCGGCACGGGCGAGTCTACCCAGACAGCAGTCAGCAAATAGTCCATGGCTGTGGGGGAAAGGGAAGATATACCTAGATCAACGTATCTGATCCGCAGGAGTTCCACAGACTTCAGCCGCTCCAGTGCTCGTATGGCTCCCAGAACCAGTTGTTCGAAAGCACCGATGAAATGCATGTCGGTGATACCCGAGCCCGACTCGTTCCATTGGGCATTTGTCCGACAGCAGTTCTTGACGGTGAGATCAATGGTCTTTAGTCGTGTAGTACGCGGGTTGGAGCATTTCGCCAGAACGTCGAAGAATCCGTGGCAGATACGGCCAGTGTAGGACAGGTGCTCCAGGAAACTCGCAGCCTTGGCCATCTTTTCGCACCAATGAAGCTGTTCGCATACTTTGAGGTAATACGGAGGACACGCCATCTCGCGTCTGTAGTCACACTCGAGACACAGGTTGAGCTTTGTGATCTTGTGATCGAGAGTTTCCAGGGTTTTTGCCATACTGAGGTAGCTCTTAGATTTGGGCTTGGCATAAGTGCCGTGCCACTCCTCGAGGCTAGGCAACGCCCTAGAGATGATCTCCCAATTTTCGGCCTGTCGTATGATGTTCCACTGACCTTTCACGATGAGGGTTCGAACTGATTGAACCTGTGGCAACTCCTGATCGTCCTCCTCATCATCTTTCTTGCGTCCTGGCGGTTTGAACTGGACCGGGGGCGCCTTCTTCCTCTCGCCACCTTCCAGAGTCATGACCCGAACCTCAGGGAACGTCATGCTCACAAGATAGAAGACTTCCTCCAGCGTTGCATTATCCATCGGCAAGCCATACATGGCACTGGCAATCCCTTCAGGAGACACGGTGGGCAGCGCGAAGGATACCTCTCCGGCGTCGTTGGTGACGAACCTCGGCTGGAAGACGGGAAACCAGATCTCGATGTGTTTGACATAGGTGCGTAGGTGAGGACGGCTCACAAAGTAGGCCATGACATCGTTATCGTCGCGAAGCGTTGCCTTGATTTTGATATGCCGATAGAGTCGCTGTTGGATCAGGTCCCGCCACAAGGGGCTGACCAGCGCAAGATTCGACAGTTCCTTCCTTCGCGAGTGACGCAGAGCCGTGCTCCAGCTGCGGGCGTTCACACTTGGGATGCTGAGAGAGCTGGGAGAGCTGGTCGAGACGCGGTAGCCAAAAAGGTGGTCTAGGATGCATTCGTGGATCTCGGCCGGCAGATCACCCAGTGTCAGCACCGGATATTGCTCGACTACTGGTGAGGGCGGCGGGCCGGTATCCATACAATCATCCGAGCCAAAGCAGTCCGGTTGACATGTCAGACAGCGGATGTCGGTCTGGCCCTGCTGGGCATTGGGGAAGGGTGTACTACTCGGGCGGGTGGGCGGTACGAAGTCGGCCGTTTTGGAGGCATCTAGCGGTGGACTCGACGGGCCGAGTGTGGCTGGAGTTGACGACGTGACGGTCATGATGGCAGCCACCTCATTGGCTGCGCTGCCCACATCCTCTTCATCCTCGTCGGCGATGGACATTTCTCTCGGCCGGTATCGTTCTCTCGAGGGATGAAGGTTCGGGGCGCGAGTGTCGAAGGCATCGGCAAGAACTACATCTTCACCGTGGAAGATGGGCGATTCCCTGACGGCAACGGACATCATGTTGCGTCTCAGTCGAGTCTGGCTAGTTGTGAGGCTCCCGTGGTCATGACAGGTGGACCTTGAGAGGGCGAACGAAAGCGCTGGGCCTCGTCCAGAGCAACAAACGCCCAAGGGTTGTCAAGAATGTTGGTAGAGATGCTCGGTGTCAACGGTTGATTGTTGAATTGCTGTTTGCGATGCCAGGGAACATTCGCGCACCGAACGGCTCTCCCTTCCTCGAAAGTCTCTGGTGGCCGGGTTTGGATGCCTCAGGTCCTAGATGGACCATGGACCGGCGGGGAAGACGGTGACAGGTATTGATTGGTATTCGAGTCGGTGATCCCTTCGCTCGCTGCGAGGGGGGTCGCGTGTCCGGAGACTGCAATAGCCCGATAGATAAGGGAGTCGAAAAGTTGGCAAAGCTGAGACGCTGAGACGCTTAGACGGACGCAAATTGGCGGCTGGCACGGGCGACCGGGGTCAAGGCCAGAACGTACTCGAGAGTCGGAGTGTACGGTGGTGTCTAAGGTACTGGTTAGGAGTGTGGTAGATGTTGGTGGTATGTGGAAGAATGGGCGGTCGGGTGGCATAAGAGATTGACGAATCGTCAGGAATTGGACTGCGTGGCTGCGTGGATTGGGTGATGTGGTCCAGAATCAGAATCGTCAGTCATCCGTCTATCTCCCGGTTGGTATCGCAGTAGCGTGCCGGTGCAGGAAATGAATAAAGGCCCTGGGCCCAGCAGGTACTTCATTCGACTCTGGATGGGTACCTGGCTGCCTGGGTGACGAGATGGCAGGTGGAAATGTACCCGGAGTATGTACCCGGAGTCCGCCACCAGGACGCCGGGCAGATCAAGTACCGCTTATCTTCAGTGGTGCTATTTGAATGTATATAAGGCATCCACGCAGAGGTACCTAGGTAATCGGTCGACCCGAGCCACAGGCCGCATGCTTTGCGATGCATTGCCATGCCAGCATGCAGCCAGCAGCCAGCAGCCAGCAGCCAGCAGCACGCTTGAGCCCTGCAAATCACTCCTGTGTGATTATAATTTATTTTCTATTTTGTTTTATTTTGACTGACTGTGGGGCGCTTGTAATGATATGTCTTCTTCTTCTTATCACTTTACCTTCCAGTGTCCACTGTCTATGCCTCTACAGATATCCAGCTGTCATGTCTACACAAATCTAGGCCCATGGGGGTTGCTTTGTGTCTGATCAGTTCCAGAAGTTACATATGAGCCTGAGTACACAACTGCCATATCTAATGCCCCGACTCCAAATCGGTCTTTATGGGTGAATGACTTGGGATATTTCAATGTTATCCTGTCGAGTTTCTTTGCGGACAGTCGTTGATTGACTGAGTCTGAGGCAGTGCATGCATACATTCGCGCCATTTGCACGACTCAGATCAATAACGTCCTCACTTCCTTACTCATATAGTTCAATTCACCGCTCAGTCTGTTGGCAAACGGCAACTTACGGCGGTCAACTTTGAACTTTGCAGTGTTCCCGTGTACAGTGTAATTGTCCAATCTCGACCTATTCTATAGGTACCCACCAATTTCACTATCACAGCCCCCCTTTCTGATCTCCAGCGTGGGAGACCAGTGTTTTCATTCTCATCGACCTTCAATGTCGATCGTAAGCAGAGATAGTCGCTATCCGATGCATGTCATGTCGTCAATCGATTGGAGCGTTTCGTGCCGGTCTGCAGGTACAGTCAGAATGATCTGCACGATGCTCGTACTTACCTCTTCGGTTTTTCACCCTGGTGGCTTTCTACCTTGGGATATTGGCACACTCATGGCCACAGATTTCTTGAAGTCCTCTGAAAGTCTGGGCAGCTAGACGTGTCATACATTAACTTCTACTAGTTCCTCTGCAAGTCTTCAGCGCGATTACTTGAAGTCATGTGGTCCCCTTCACTGGCAACGGGAGCTCCCCTTGCTCAACCCCATAGGTAGGTGTCGTCACAGGCCGCGGGTAGAAAAAGAACAGATTGGTTGGTGTCGCTGGAAACATTGGGCTGTGGCCTCAGCTTCCCGTAGGCAAGTATCATCACAGGCTGTGGTTCAGGGGTTACGAACCAGGATGTGGCCACCTCAGCAAAGTCGGAAACTCTCGTCAATGTCGGCAGAGTCCATATATATCTCTTATATGCTTCAAAAAGGTCGAGTTCGGTGGGGTAGTATGCGCCAACAAAGACTGCACTCACTGTAGAAAGCATGTGCATCTTATAACGAGAATGGCTTTCCTCATCGCCAAAGTGCTATGCTGATCTAGCAGTGGCACCTTCGGCGCCGGTCTCGATACGTAGGCCGATCACCCAGAGCCGAAGCGGCGGGACCGGGCGGCTACACAATAGGTATCTGCACTGGGACGGACACGGCAGCCGGGACGCCTGTAGGTATATCGTCAACCTGCAGCGACATCAGTGCGACCTGTTCGAGAAATTTATGTATCTGCCGATGAGTATTGTACGACAGGTCTGAGGCATTGATAACACCGGAATATATGGGGAGGGATGGCTTCACCCAACGGGAAAGGGGCAATATTCGTCAAGTTTCTCGCGTCGTTCAGTACCATCCCCGCCTTTGGGTCACTCCCCAGAGTCAACCACCCATCCCTTCAATCCTTGTACCTCAGGCAGATGGAGTAGATGAAGGTGACAGTCAGGCGACTTGATTGATACCTGTTGTGTATAGTTACTGCTAGACTGCGTCATTCCAATAGCGGCTGGCCGTAGACGATGTTTGCGTCTATGCCCGAAGCCTGAAATGCTTCGATTATACGGCTTCTAGTGTTGTTCTCCCCGACATGGCTTGAAGGTGTCCAGCTGCTATGGCAAGTAATATATGCTCTGGTCGGGAGCTGGGCGTCAAGGCGACGGATAAACTGACGTCCCTCGGCTTCAAGCCATTTTCTCATAGCCAGTTGAACCAAGCTGTGCATTTCAAATGTCTTTCCGTCCTCAACTGTAGAGATGAACGGGTAATCGCGCAAATTCGAGACATCCCTATCGAACTGATCATCCATGCTAGGATCCTATTCCACGTCTTTGTCGCTTGATTATTGGTTGCTGGCCCATTTGTCCAAAACAGGGCTTTGTTGATGTCGGTTTGGTCTACTAGTGGCGCCTTCCTTTTCATCCCGAGTCTTGATACCATCCTGCTTTTCTAGAGTAGTTCACAACTTTTTCTCCGCCAAGATGCCTAATTCATAGGCTCGACCCTAATATTACGTGATTCGACCAGCTTGGACGCCACATCTCTGTTTCTGCTCGTGATAAGGAGGGAGCCATGTTGGCAGAGAGGAAGGTATGAGGAGAGCGTTTGATTCTGGATATGTAGCCGGGTATTAAGACTGGTGCTATCTTTAGAGCACGATGTTTGTTTGTTTGTTTGTTTTGTATTTAACGTGGGGGGTAGCTCCTCAGTAGTGCAAACCACGCCTCCCAGAGCCTCTGTATCGCAGGGTTGTGGAGGTATCAAGATAATAAGTACAGTCAGTCCCGCTCACGAGCCCATCCCCGTTGTTGCGGCGGTATGACCTGGGGGTCATCCATCTGGTCCTTCAAGAAAAGCTATCTATTGGGGGCAGATTGTTGAAAAGAACTTGCTCTTCTCCACGAATTTTGTCCATTCTGTGCTCCTCTCCCCTAAGTATTGTAAACAAGCTGTCCTAGGCGAGTACCTAGACAGCAGCTGGTTTTTCCCAAGCCTCTTACAAAAGAAAATGTGTTGTGGTGTTTTCTTCTCACTACAGTTGTAGTGATCATTCGAGTCTGTATGCCCAAAGCGTTCATGGTATCTGGCAAAGTCGTCATGTCCAGATCTGACTGCTAGAAATCTGTGTAAAGTACTCCTCTTAAAAGATATCAGGTCTCTTTTAGTTACTGTATGTGAGTATATTTCTTGATATTTAGGTTCTGATTGGTCTTTTTACCATTAATTGAACTCTTTTTTGCCCTTTCTTTGATGTTTGTTTGTTTTGTATTTAACGTGGGGGTAGCTCCTCAGTAGTGCAAACCACGCCTCCCAGAGCCTCTGCATCGCAGGGTTGTGGAGGTCTCAAGATAATAAGTACAGTCAGTCCCGCTCACGGGCCCATCCCCGTTGTTGCGGCGGTATGACCTTGGGGTCATCCATCTGGTCCTTCAAGGAAGGCTATCTATCGGGGGCAGATTGTTGAAAAGAACTTGCTCTTCTCCACGAATTTTGCCCATTCTGTGCTCCTCTCCCCTAAGTATTGTAAACAAGCTGCCCTAGGCGAATGCCTAGGCAGTAGCCGATTTTTCCCCAGCCTCTTACAAAAGAAAATGTGTTGTGGTGTTTTCTTCTCACCACAGCTGCAGTGATCATTTGAATCTGTGTGCCCAAAGCGTTCATGGTATCTGGCAAAGTCGCCATGTCCAGATCTGGCCGCTAGAAGTCTGTGTAAAGTACTCCTCTTAAAAGATATAAGGTCTCTTTCAGTTACTGCATGTGAGTATACTTCTTGATACCTAGATTCTGATTGGTCTTTCCACCATTGGTTGAACTCTTTCTTGCCCTGTCTTTTGAGATCTCTCTTGACCCAAGAGATTGTAGGAAGATTTGTTGTGTCTGTTTCCAGCATGGCACCCTCTTTTGCTAGTGTGTCGGCAGCTTCGTTGCCATCAATATCTCTGTGTCCAGGAATCCATTTGACGGTCACTCCAGGAGTGTGTGCTGTGGCAAGTTCTTGAAATCGTAGAAAAATGTTTTGTGATGTCTCGGGTGGAGTCCCATTGAGCCCATCTACCACTGACGTGTTGTCCAGGCAGACATATAGCTGTTTTCCGTGTCCAATTGCCCTGGCTGCTGCAAGACCTTGGAGAGCACCATGGACTTCAGCATCTACTACTTCTGCTTGTAGAAGTCTGCCCCTTCCCCGGTATACTTCTTGTGTAGTGCCGCCTTTCCTGATGGTATAACCCCATCCAGTGCGGATTGTGCCTTGGTCATCCAACTGTGATCCATCTGAGTAGATGACAAG